TAGAAGTGAGGTGGAGGTAGAAACGTACCTGCAGAGGAACAAGGAATAGAATTATGTCAGACTTCTCTTCAGAAACCATGCAAGCAAGAAGAGTGGAGTGAAATATTTAAAATGTTGAAAGAAAAAAACTACCAACCTGGAATTCTGTATTCAGTGAAATTATCCATCAAAAATGAGGGAGAAATAAAGACTTTCTCAGACAAACAAAAATCGAGGCAATTTGTCACCAATAGATCTGCCTTGCAAAAAATGTTTTAAAAAAATTAAAGGAAGTTATTCGGAGAGAAGGCAAATTATATAGGTCAGAAACTTGGACCTACACAAAGAAAAGGAGCGTGTTAAAGAAAGAATGTTGTTGCTGTTTGGTGCTGTTGAGTCAATTTTCAACTCATAGTGACCCCATGTGACAGAGTAGAACTGCCCTATATGGTTTTCTAGACCTGTAATACCAGATTGCCAGATCTTTCTCCCACTGAGCCACTGGATATGTTCAAATGACCAACCTTTCTTTTAGCACTTGACTACTTAAGCACTGTCACCAAGCTCCTAAATGAAGGTAAAATAAAATCTTTTATTTTAGTATTCTTAATCTATTATATTATCATTTGTTCAAAATAATGATAGCAACAATGTATTGGGTGATTACACCTTATGGAGAGGAGAAATGAATGAGAGCAATATAGTAAGAGATGGGAGAGAGGAATTGGGAATACTCTGTTACAAGGTATCTCCACTACCTGTGAAGTGATACTGTGTTCTTTGAAAGTGGATTTAGATTGGTTATAAGCATATATTGCCATCTCTACGGCAACCACAATAAACGTGTAAAAGACATATAAAGTATATGCTAAGAGAGGAGAGAAAATGGAATCATATGAAATGTTCAGTTAAAACCAGTGAAGGCAGAAAGAGGGGAGGGAAAAAAAAAAGGAACAAGTACAATGAATAGAGAACAGTTACAAATATGGTAGATATAATTCGAACTATATCAATAACCACATTAAATGTGAATGGTCTAAAATACACCAAGTAAAAGACAGAAACTATCAGAGTGCATTAAAAAAAAAAAAAAAAAAAAAAACAAGACTCACTTATATGTTGTATACAAGAAACTCACTTTAAATTCAAAGATAGATTAAAAGTAATGAGATGGAGGAAAGAATAATCTTTTCAATAAATGGTGCTGGGACAACTGGATCCCCACCTGCAAAGGAATGAAGTTGGACCCATATCTCAGCTCATATACAAAAATTAACTCAAAATGGATCGAGGATCTAAATACAAGCACTAAAACCATAAAACTCTTAAAAGAAAACACAAGAGTAAAGCTTTGGGATCTAGTTTTTGACAATGGATTCTTAGATACAACACCAACAGCACGAGCAACAAAAGACAAAACAGGTAACTTGGACTTCATCAAAATTAAAAACTTTTGTACATGAAAGGGCTTTATCAAGTAAGTGAACAGACAACCTACAGAATGGGAGAAAATATTTGGTAACCATATATCTGATAAGGGTTTTTAATACCCAGAATATATTTTAAAAAAACTCTTACAACTCAACAACCAAAAGACAAATAATTCAAAATGTACATACAAATATGTACAGTCAATCATCATTTGTTGATTCCATGTTGCGATTCTGGCTACTTTATAAAATTTATTTATAACCCCCAAATCAATATTTGTGGTAGCTTCACATTTATTCCACACACACACACAGAATGACAAAAATTCTGAGTTGCCAATGCACACTTCCTAGCTGAGTTTGAGCAAGGCAATGCTCTACCTTCTGTTTCAGCTCTCGTAGGGCAAACAGGTGTTCTTTTATGGTCTATTTAGTGCTATGTTTTTTGTATTTTTCTGCTTTTTGGTGGTGAATTTGTTATTTAAAATGGCCCCCAAGTGTAGTGCTAAAATGTTGTCTAGTATTCTTAAGTGCAAGAAGGCTGTAATGTGCTTGCCAAAGAAAATACATGTGCTAGATAAGCTTTACTCAGGCATGAGTTACAGTGCCATTGGCCACAAGTTCAACTTTAAAGAATCAACAATATATATTAAATATAATGTCTTTAAACAGAAAAATGATAGTGAGGATGGCACAGGACTGAGCAATGTTTCATTCTGTTACACATACGGTTGCCTTAAGTCTAAGCCGACTCAATGGTAACTAACAGTACAACAATAACAACAACAACAAAAACAAACATAAAACAAGATTATGTATTTATCAGTTGATGAAAATATTGTGACCAGACGCTTGCAGGAATCTAACCCTGTAGTTTTTCCCTTAGGATCAATGATTCAGTATTCACTAATTCAATATTTGCAGTAACTTTATCGAACCTAATTACCATGAATAATGTGAATCAACTGTATTTGATACTTTGCAACTATTCTGTAAACAAATAATCCATATTTATGCATTTCATTTATACAAAATACAAACTGAATTTTGAGACAGTGAAATATCATTTATTTCTGCTTATAAACATGAAATAATCTATAAAATAAAGAAAATTTAAGGTTAACAAGCTTCCTAGTGATAAAGGAATAATTAATCAAGTCTATTATCTTTAAAAAAAGGAAAAAAAAAAGATGTATTCTACTAAACCTGCCTAAAAGGGTAAAAATCATTGGGAGGGAGGGGTGGTAGTTAAAATACCTTCTACATAATGAAAAAAAATTGAGGATATTTTCACTTCTGAAATAAAGCTCTCTTTTTAGCAATATACACTTCACTAACCTTCAAGCTAGAGAAATTTGTCACGTTCTATATTTTAAAATTTTTTTCCATCAAGTAAATGATCTGCCTTAGTATATATCTGGGGTAGTTAGCACTTGGTAAATGTCATTTTAAATACTGGAAGCAAATTTAGGGCAAACAGTCCATAGCATTAGTGTGGTGTGAAGCCTAAAATTAAGGCTCAATATCAAGTGCTGTTTTGACATGTGGTAAAATCCAGAGGGCTCTGAGTGGCCTAACTGCAAGTTCCCCTCCCACTCTGTTCTGTGGATAAGACTCTCTTCAAAAGGGATCAGGCAGTTTCTGCTTACCCTTGAGTGGCACTTTCAGTTTTCAGCCAGTTGGAGGAATTATTCAAACAAGCCAATCACATCCTCCCACAGGAAGCAGGGAATACCCCACCCTCTTGATACTACAAAGCCTGCCTTCCATAGTCCCTTTTGGTTCACTCTGTTTCTAGGTGCAACCTTCATGTGGCCTTGCATGGCATTGGCAGTCCTCTTCTGCTGGGTTGTGAGTATATGTGACTAATAAATTGTTGTCTTATCTGTCCAGTGTCAGATGCTGTGTGTTCAGCCATCCTCATAACTCTAGGGTGGGTTGGATGAATAGGAGGCAATTAAAATAACTGGTATCTAATCTTACCATCAAGAATTCCTTTGCAGATATGAACAGGCACTTCACCAAAGAAGACATTCAGGTGGCTAACAGACACATTAGGAAATGCTCATGATCATTAGCCATTACAGAAATGCAAATCAAATTATAATGAGATACCATCTTACCTCAACAAGGCTAGCATTAATCCAAAAAACACAAAATAATAAATGTTGGAGAGGTTGTGGAGAGACTGGAACACAAATACACTATTGGTGGGGATGTAAATGGTACAACCACTTTGGAAATCGATTTGATACTTCCTTAAAAAGCTAGAAATAGAAGTATCATAAGATCCAGCAATCCCACTTTGGTTTAGTCCAGTTGTGCTGACTTCCCTTGTAGTGTGCGCTGTCCTTCCCTTCACCTAAGATAATTCTTGTTTACTATCTAGTTAGTGAATAACCCTCACCCTCCCTCCCCACCCCTGTAACCATCAAAGAATGTTGTCTTCTGTGTTTAAACCTTTTCTTGAGTTCTTAAAATAGTGGTCTTATACAATATTTGTCCTTCTGTGACTGACTAAATTCAGTCAGCATAATGCCCTCCAAATTCCTACATGTTATGTTTCACGGATTCATCATTGTTCTTTATCGTTGCAGAGTATTCCACTGTGTGACATCTGAGGTCTTAAAAGCTAGCAAGCAGCCATCTAAGATGCATCAATTGGTCCCAACCACATGGAGTAAAGCAAAATGAAGAACACCAAAGACACAAGGAAAATACCAGCCCAAGAGACAGAAAGGGCTACATAAACCAGAGACTCTGTCAGCTTGAGACCAGAAGAACTAGATGGTGCCTGGCTACCACCAATGACCGCCCTGACAGGGAACACAACAGAGTCCCTGATGAGCAGGAGAAAAGTGGGGTGCATAACTCAAATTCTAGTAAAAAGACCAGACTTAATGGTTTGATTGAGACAGGAGGGACCCTAAAAGACATGGCCCCTGGACTCTCTGTTAGCCCAAAACTAAAACCATTCCCAAGGCCAACTCTTCAGACAAAGATTAGACTGGACCATGGGACATAAAATGATACTCGTGAAGAGTGTGCTTCTTTGTTCAAGTGAATACATGAGACTAAATGGACAGCTGCTGTCCGGAGTCGAGATGAGAAGGCAGAGAGGATCAGGAGCTGACTGAATGGACACGGCAAATATGGCGTGGAAAGGAGGAGTGCGCTGTCACAGTATAGGGAGAAGCAACTAGGGTCACATAAACAATGTGTGTATAAATTTTCGTATGAGAAACTAACTTGAATTATAAAGTTTCATTTAAAGCACAAGAAAAAAAAAAAAAAGTTCTCTGCATTTCTTCATTCCCTCACTGGTCTACTGTTCTAAAAGGCTTTACATTTATTATTAATTAAAATGATCAAAAAATTAAGACATTAATATGAAATGCTCAAAGAAAACTTATAATAAGCACAGAATAAAATCCAAAAAAAAACCAAAGAAACTAGATGTTTAACCTAGCCATTATTCAATAGGTCAAGAGAAGTAATGAGAAATTTTTATTCAGAATTCTATAAAACACTACGAATACAAATTATTAGAATGATAGCATTCTAAAATTGAGTTTAAAAAAGGGTATTCACCACATGGGTTGATTGTAGAGCTAAGTGAAGCAACTCCAGTGGAAAGGCCGCCTTTTGAAACTGCTGAAGCCACAGGAGGTGTAGAAGATGAAGTTGGTGTAGTAGAGGAGGCTGTTGAGGATGATAACCGTTCTCCAGACTCCATTATCTATGAGAGAGGAAACAAACATTAACTCTCAGTATTAGATAGTGGAATTATTCAAAGGTATAAAGCATATTTAAAATATGTCAAACCTTTCAGGCATACTATTTAAAATATGAAATAAATTTAGAAATATATGTTCTTCTGAAAGATAAAATGAAGAGTAGATAAAAAGGATATAATTAAAAATACCAATTTATGAAATAACTTTAATGTTAAGTATACCAAATCCTCTTCTAATAGACATGTGCAGTTTCCTCATAACAAAATAGTGATTTGAACACAGTCATGTGTCGCTTAACTTCCACAATACGTTTTGTGAAATAGGATGTTATATGACTTGTACACTGTGCAAACACCATATTACTTAGCAAAGTATATTTGCTTCCTCAGTCTCTGCCCCTCTCTCTGGTAGCCACAATTCAGTGGCTTCTCCAGGGCGCCTCCATGATCCCCTTCTCTGACCCTGTATCCTCCACTCCATGCCCTTTCCTAAGCCCTCCCATACCCCTGCCTCTTGGCTCCTTCCCCAGTGCGCCCACCTTCCTGAGCCCTGCATCCCACCGGAGCCCAGATGTGCACCATGAGCAAGCCCAGGAGGTTCCACTGAGTGCAGAGGCCACTCAATTACTCAGCCTGACTTATCGTGGTTCACCGACCTCCAGTGACTAGTGCCCACATCTTCACAGGACCCCCCTGCCCCTGTCTCCTTCTCCTTCCTTCTCCCTCTATCCCTTTCTTCCTGGGTCCAGACAAGCCTATACACACAGCCATATATACCGTATATACTTAGAAAAGCTATATGAGACCATAGACATATATATAGTTGGACACTGCTCGGACAGACACTATGTGGTCCATGACTATATAGTAATGTCACACAAATGTCACACAGGCTTAAGGGAAATTAACATTTTATTCTTCCTTAACTACTTCATCATCTATTTACTTGCAACATAATATCCATATTATCTTATTAATGAATCAAGAAAATATCACCACATTTGAACGCATTGCATCCCTGCCTTCTAAACCCAGACAGCAATTTGGCTGCAGGTCTTAAGTGTGCAAGAATCTGGTGTGGTAATCCCAATTCAGTGAGGCCCCCCAAAAAGGCAAATACATTTCAGAGTTTTTACTGAAGTCAAGTTTGAATTATGACCTCAAAATGGCTTAGTGTGAACCATTTATAAATACAAAATCATTTACAAGCATCTTTATTAATTTGTTTAGGTACTGTGGTACAGTCTTGCATTGCTTTTTCCAATAGTTTATGTTGTCATTTAAAAATCCAGAATATAATAGATTATCATCATTTTAATACTCTATGCATTCACTATTTCCACAAGTAAGGAAATCATGAAGTTCACAGTTGTTCTAAGGAGCACATAATCTATAAGAAACAAACAAACCAAAAAAGATGCTCCTCATCTATAAGTTACCTTAGGATCTATTTCAAATAAACTCTCACCATTTAAATAAGCTAACTGTAAAGAGATTTCTCTATGGAATTTCTGTATGGAATTTGATAGCTCCCATAATTACTATACATTTTCTAAGAAAAATGGTTTGATTTCATGTTAAAATTTCATTTGTAAATATTAATTAAAGCAATTTAAGATTAATGTGTAAATATTGAGTGAATCCATACAGTATATAGATGCTTTTTCTCATAAGATAGATAAATATGGTAAAGGCAATCTCAGTTTACTGCATGACATATTAGTAGGATCATTTCAGTGAGCTTTCCAATCATAAACAATTAAAAACTCTTCATATTTTGGCATTGCTGTCAATCACCTCCATAGATGATGGTACTGCTATGATGAGTATGTTCATATTCTTACAGAATATTTCCTTCTTTTCATCAGTATTCATCATGGCGAAGATGTAGATCTAATAATGGCTGCACGGAACTAATGTTTAAAGGGCAGGTTTGGGGTCATCAAACAATCAATAACAGGCTTTGAGACATGTGGCTATCTGATGACAAGGCCCATGGCTGACACCTTCCTCTCTATAGTTATTTTTACCAACAAGTCTCATTTCACTAAATAGAAAAAAATCTTGATCTATTGGGATAGATGTTTTTTTTTCTTCTTTGTATCTGGTAACCTCATTGTGTTAAATAATTCTAAAATCTACTATTTAAATGTATTACCATTACTTAAAAAAAATGGAAGTTTTGTTTGTTTTTTTCAATTTGCTTTTGTATTCCATGGCAAAAATAATCTGGTCACATAATAGAGATAAGCACTTTAACTGAGTACCTCGCTCAGGATAAAAGCTCAATAAATAGTCATTATTTTTTAAGGATAATAAGCTGTGAAGTCTAGGTATATTTCTATCTGTTGATATTACTTGATTCAGAATAAAAGTGAGGAAAACCCGGAAGATAAAACAAGCAGTCTCTATCTAATAAAATTACATATACATATGCTTAAATCTTATGATTCTACTTCTGAGAATCTATTCTGTAGAAATAAGGAGTCCCTGGGTGGTGCAAATGGTGCAAATGGTTAAGTGATGGACTACTAACCAAAAGGCTGCAGTTCAAACCCACCCAAAGTCTTCCTAAAGGTCACAGCCTTGAAAATCCTATGGAGTGCAGTGCTATCTACACATATGGAGTTGCCATGAGTTGGAAAAGACCAGATGGCAACTAACAATAACATTCTGTAGAAGTAAAGTCCCAGTAGGCAAAGCAATAGATGCAACATTGTGTATTATTCCACTGTTCAAAAATAAAATTTAAACCTGGCAGTGAGAAAGAGTGGAACTAGAGTTTGTAACATGAGGTTGGAAAAAAGCGGCAAAACTTTGTCTTTTATTCAAGATTCTTTCTGTTCATTTAAGTGGGTATTTCAGAAGAGAATTAACTTTTAAAAACTGTGCTTATTTAGCCATTTTCCTTAGAAATTCTATTATGTACATCATGCATATATTAATTTTTTTGATCTTAGATACACATGTTGTTACCCAGTATGATCTGTTAGGGTTCCTGAGTATTCTTGTATGTAAAGTCCTTCTTTCTTACCAAAACCCAAACCCAAACCCATTGCCATCGAGTAGAATACCAACTCACAGCGACCCTATAGGACAGAGTAGAACTGCCCGGCAGGGTTTCCAAGGCTATAAATCTTTACAGAAGCAGACTGTCACATTTTTCTCCTGCAGAGCAGATAGTGGGTTCAAATTGCTGAACTTTGGTTTGTAGGTGAGTGCTTAACCACTGACCAACCAGGGTTCCTTCTGTTTTCTTATAAAGGCTCTAAGTTTTTTGTTTTTTTAAATAGGAATTTCCTAGTTATAGGAACCAAAATTTGATCAACTACTCCATGTTCATCTTATAAATATCCTATTTTCAATTTACAGAAATTTTTAAAAATCTACTCTACCCTTTGTTACTCTAGTATGAAGACTGTCTTATGCTTGATTTATTACGAATCACCTTTATAAAATTCTCTCTTTTAGTTAAATCTTATTGTTTTCAGATTTTATTTACTTATTATTTTATTTTATTATTTACTCATCTCCTGCAAGCACAGCTCTAGAAGGAATTAAAAAAAGAAAAGAAAAAAAGTTGACGTCAAGTCAATTCTGACTCACAGTGACCCTATAGGGCAGAGAAGAACTGCCCCATAGGGTTTCTAAGGCTATAATCTTTACAGAAGCAGACCGTCGCATCTTTCTCCCGTGGAGTGGCTGGTGGGTTCTAATTACTGACCATTTAGTTAGCAGCTGAGCGCTTAACCACTATGCGACCAGGGCTCCTTCTAGAAGGAATAGTGGCCATCAATTTGAAAGCAAAAAGATAAGAAGGCAATGCCTTTTATAACTGTAGATAATCTACAAAACAATCACTGTTATACCATATTGTAAGAACTATTCAAAGAAAGTGGTTTAAAAAACAGGTGCACCAAGGAATGCTAAAATCAGTGGGTATCAAAGAAGAAACTATCGTATTTTTATGCAAATAACGCATCCTTCTGCATTTGTTTGCTAGCCATGCCCTGCCTCTGGCAATGTATTTTTGTAAATGTGCTAATTTTTTTTACAGCGACATGTGGAAGAGGACTGGCATGGCAGTGCTTGTGAGAGTACCTTACAGGGGGAGGACACGGCTGGCAAACAAACGCAGAAGGTGTGTGTTATTTGCATAAAAATACAGTAGTCTACAGGACAAATAGTCTACACAAAACACAGCCTCATCTACCCCGAGACCAGAAGAACTAAAGGGTGCCCAGTTATCACTACTGATTGTTCTAATCAGGAACAAAACAGACTGACCCAGATAAAATGGGAGAAAATGCGTAACAGAACTTCAAATGCCTTAAAAAAAAACAAAAACAAACTAGGCCTACTGGACTGGTTGAGACTGGAGGACTCCCTGAGACGATGGCCCTGAGACACTCTTCAAATCTTGAACTGAAACTAATCCCTGAGGTCACCTAGTAGCTAAACAAAAATTGGCTCAAAAAATAATATCACACTTAAGTACTGTCCTCCTTTTAAAAAAATCACCTATGTGAGACCAAATGGTCAGTAATTACTTTAAAACAAAGGTGAGAAAGCAAGGGAGCAGGGAAACTAGATGAATGGAAATAGACCAACCAGAATAGAAATAATGAGAATGTTCACACATTGTGAAGAACGTAACCAACGTCCCTGAACAAATTCTGTAGAAATTGTTGAATGGGAATCTAAAGTGCTGTGTAAACCTTTACTGAAAACACATATCTGTCTTGGAAGAAGTACAGCCAGAATGCTCCTTAGAAGTAAGGATAGCAAGACTTCATCTCATGTACTTTGGACCCGTTATCAGGAGGGACCAGTCCCTGGAAAAGGACATCATGCTTGGTAAAGTAGCGGGTCATCAAAAAAGACAAAGACCCTCAACAACATGGACTGACAAAGTGGTTGCAATGATGGGTTCAGGCAAAACAACAATTGTGAGGATGGTGCAGGACCAGACAGTGTTTCGTTCTGTTGCACACAGGGTCACT